CTCACTGGGTCTTGTTGCCTCTCTCCATGGCTGTTTCATCTTCCTGGGCTGCCTCCTTCCACCAATAGTCTTCCACCACTGACAGGCCTGGGGACTAACAGCCTTAGCACACAGGAATGTGGAGCTGGCACACTTAGGGTAAATGTCTCAGTGGTAGCTCTGGTATAGAAGGGAAATGTCAGCTAAGCCCACCTCTGTCTATCCACAGTCACATACCAAGTGACCAGAGCCCCAAGCTTCCTAAAGCTGTTGATTTGATTAGCAGTGGTGAGCCAGGGGGTTCTAGGACTAAATACTCCTGCTTTTGAATAAAATCTCTTGGTATTCTGAGGAGACCCAAACTCTCCCTGGATTTTCTCCCTGATAAAGACCTGGGCTCTGGTGGCCATCAGAGTTCAAAAGGGGTCCATAGAACCCACTGCAATGTCCAGAAAAGGCTGGCCTTCCACAAGGGTGCAAGATTACCTGCTGAACTGATAAAGCCAGAAAGTATTAAAATACAAAATGGATGAGGGTACAGCATAACAGGCTGTCTAGCTCCTTTTTGTATTAAGAGCATATACATATGCCTTTCAGTTCAGTAATCCTATTTTACTGACAAGGTAAAAAAAATACTAGTACAGAATGTTGTCCTACCAGAAATATTTATGGCAACAGAAAGAAACATTGGAAAAATCTTATATATCCATCAGTAGGTGGAACATTAAATAAAGCACAGGTGTAGCTGCTCTATATATGAGATACTGTGTAGTTAGTTAAAAGAAGGAGCTCTGTGTTTAACTATCAGTCTTGAAGCGTTTTGGTTGTGAAGACATGCCTATCCCATTGAAAACCCCAAACCGATTTTCCCTATGGGCATGTGACGGATATGTTTGTATGCATAAGTGAAAGGGCAGACAACAAGGCACACTAACCTCCTAGTTTGTCAGGAACTGAGGATTAAATGTTCCCTTTATGTATCCCTGAATTGCTTCAGCGATTACAATAACAACGTTACCTCTACATCTCTAGTATGAAAATAGGAATGTGATATGAATGTGGGAGGGGTGGGAAAGAGCAACTGTGGATGCAGGCACTTGGGTTGAGGAAGCAAAGGTCAGAAGTGGGGCTGGGAACTCAGTGAGATGGAGGGGTCAGGGGGACAGTCACTACAGAGCAGCTCACTTACTTCCAGTGCAGCCTGGGAGGAACAGAGGGCCTGGATAACTTGTACTAGATGTATTACAATTGTACACCATAAGACAAAACTGCCTCCCAATTGGCAGGATGAGGTTCTCTATTGGATGCTATTTTGAAGAATTTAGTGAGATTCATTGGATCCAAACTAATCAAAGGGGAAAGAACTTTAATCAATAATGGCTAGCACAAAGTAAGTAATTGGCATATTGTAGGAAAGCACTCCTGTACTCTTATTTGGTACAAGGCACAATCCTGTAACATAGGCAGGTATGGTGACCCTCATTTTCCCCAAGAGGAAACTTAGCTACAGAAAGGTTTAGTGACATGCCCATGGTTAAAGGAGCAGACAACAGAGACTTTTTGGCTCCACAGTCTTAGCTCCTGGAAGCCACACATAACATGCTATCTGTCCAGGAAGAAAATCTGAACCCAAATGTCACATTCTTACAACCATCCAAGGAGACAGGGGAAGAAAGTAGTACCTGTGCTGTGCTGTGCTGCAGGGGAGGGCACACACCTATGTTGGGAGGGAACAATACTGTGGTCAGGAGCTCTGGTCCTCCAAGACCAGGCTGGGCAGAACTGAGCCAGAAGTTCTTAGGTCATCATTCAGGTTTAGGTCAGAGTCTGCTGAGGTGCAAGACTTAAGGAAGTACCTGAGGTTTAAGGGAAGTGGGGACACATTCTCTAGGCTGATCTCTTTGGGAAAAATAGGGTAGGACACAAGACAGCATTTCAAGTTTCTGGGCTCACTAGCCTAGGAATTTGCCAAGACTTACTATGGAGACAGGGATAAATTCCAGGTAGATGGTGGTCTCCTCATTCACATCCTTTTCCTGCTAGGGGTAGAAAAAAGGTTTCTTATGGTAGGTGACCTGGAGGAAGTAGTAGTTAGTCTTTCCTCTCTGGCCCAAGGGCCAGGGTGGTGACTGATCCAGAAGTGGACTCCCCCAGGAATCACCCAAGCCCAACCAGGTGCTGCCAGGGTTGATAGCCTAGAGTCCAGTGGTGGGTGGCAAGGGTGACAGAATAATTTAAGGTTTTCTGCTGGGATGTGAGGAAAAGAAATTTGGGGAATCTCTAGTTCCGTTTCTCCTAGCCCTGGATTTCCTGGAGCTCTTGGGCCTTCTGGTAAGGACAGTGGGTGTTGCTTCTGCATGGCCCATGGGCTCATGTTACCCATTAGGAAAGCACCAGGGCAGACCACTAGGGACTTGGCCCACAGGGATTAGTTTCAGAGTGAGATTCTGCATCTTCAAAGAGAAAATCTGTATGGTTCCTTGAGCTCACGTGCTTCCTGAAGAGTCTTGAATGAAAATATGTTCCAATTTTATCTGTCCCCATTTTTTTCACAAGGCACCTCCTTCTCCCTCTGCTGATTCTGAGTCTATATCCCTCCATTTCCCTATGCCCTTCCCCTCCTCCTTCTCCATCCTATTTTCCTTCTCTTTCTTTTGCCAGTTTCATCTTTCACTTTAATTCTCCCTCCATGGGGCCTGACAGAGGCTGGAATTGTGAAAGTGGCTTCTGTGACTTTTTCACCAAGATTATCCAACATGACACTCAAGTGAACTTTGCTGTCCTGAATTGACTCAGCGGGTGGAGTGAACGAGGTCCTCAGCTCTTCAGGGGCTGGAAGCTAGCTTGAGTGGACCACGTGGAAAGCCAGAGCTGGTGTAGGCCCTTCTAGTGGGGCTGAGGTTAACTGTGCTGAGATCCCCAGTGACAGAGGCCCTCTACCTCAACCCCTCCTCAGAGATGGGACACACAAGTAACTCTGGTTACAATCACCCAGAACCGGCAACAGGGCTTATGGCATTGCTGCTTAAAAACAATAACATCAACTAACATATGGCGATGCCATCAGCAATCACCAACAGAAGAAACGTTCTCAAATGAGCCAGACAGGGAAGACTGTGTTTCTGAGACTCTCCCTGTGTTCCTGGGGATCCGGCAAGTGCATGTGAGCGTGGTCCCCCGCCTTGGACTGGGCAAACTCAGCTCCAAATAGGGTGCCAAGGTTTAAACTTCTCTGGCAATCTGGGATACCTTTGGAAAGACTAGGTAGGTGGGCGCCTACCTTCTCTGAGGCGGTTGGAATCCTTGTAGGATTGGGGAGTTTCTGGAGAAGAACATTGTTTGGGAAAGCCAAGGCCCCAGTCCCGACCCTGGTCCCTTCTTTCCCCCTCCCTTAGCCCTTGAATATCCGGTGAGATTGATTTCCTCCAGGTGGGGAGCCGCGGGAGGGGCAATTTCTCTTTTCCCCAGAGCGTAAGGAGACTGCGGCACGCGCTTTATTGCAGCAAAGAAGGGACTCAGTGGTGCCCACCGGTTCGCCCCTCAAACTTGCGGTGGGAAAGACACCCTTTTGAAGGCGGCACGTCAATTACGGAAAAGGATGACCATCGAAGACCTTCCCAATCTCTCCGAATTCCCGTCCCCCTCGTTCAATAGATTCGTATTTAAAATCAGCCCAGACATTTTCACTTGAATTCTAGGGGTTGAGCTCAAGAGTCATCCCATTTACTCCCAGACCGAAAATAACCATAGACAACGAAACGAACAAAATCCAACTGTTTTACAAAATAACGCGCGTTCCGGGGCGGGTGAGCACCCAGGTGAGCGAGTCTTCGGTGGTTTTGATTGAGAAGCCGGGATCCACAAAGGAGGGGGTGGGGTGGATCGTAATGGGGTGGGGGGGGAACTATTCCCCGGAGTGGCCGCGCGCGCGCGCGGCGCGTGCGCGAACGGAACGCCGTAATATATGCTGCCATTAAGAATCCCGGCAGCTCCAGCGCTTGGGGCGCCGGGACGCATGTGTTGCCGGAATCAATCCGTGGGGGGAATGCAGATTGGGCTGCGACCCACTGGGTTTGATTTATGAACTGTTACACTAGCGATTGTTTACACATTGCATTTCAGAAACCTGGCACACCCTCCCCACAGCGGGTTGCGGGCTCAAGATACCAAAAGCTGCTGCAGCCGCCAGGGTCTCCTCCCCCTCCCCCATCTTTCTTCCTCCCTCCCCCCCCCTCCACATACCTGGGAGAGGAGTCTCCAGCAGCTGCCCCCCCCCGCCCCTATCTGTTCCAGGAAATCAGATTTCGATTTCAAGGAACCTTTTGACCCAATTCAAGTTTCCCTACCCCCTCCTCCCTCCCTCGCCCCCAGCAGACCCCGGACCTGGGTCGCCCCTGCCAGTGTTTACTCTGAAATGTTTACTTCCCTGTAAAGCCATGCGGAGCCTATAAATAGAAGACGGGGAAACAGCTAGACTGGCAGATCAATAGGGCCCAGTCTCCTCGCCATTTCGGCTGAGCTGTCTTATTAATTATGAAAGGATTCACCTGATCCCTGCCTGGGAACACAGCCTCTTGGCCCCTCAGCTGGAGCCCTTAATGGCGGTTCCTTCGCAAGCTGTCTCAGGCCACCGCAGAGGAAAAGGCTAAAGGCTGTTAAAGCCGGACCTGCAAGGGACCTAGTGTCGACGTAGACCCACCTGGGGCGGGGGCGGTGAGCTGGCGGCCAACGCTGTCCCCGCGCAGCGCCTTCTTTGCTGGGAAGCACGCCCAGTTCCTAGTGCTCACCCAGGAAGGTTTTCTGCTTTTACAATAACGGTTTAATTTCGAAATAACCTCTTTTTCCTCCAGTGGGCACAATTTTGGAGACGTGCCGAACTCTCCTTAGGGATGAGGGTCGAATTAAAGACACCAAATCATCCATCGAAGTAGTGAACAGGTACATTTACCACCTGCGTTTTATGTCTCTGCGAAGTTGGCGGGAGGAAACCTGGTAGACAACAATAAAACGACACCACCCCATTTCAAACAATAACTTTTATTTTATACTTCTCTATACTTTGTAGCAAATTTTTTTGCTGAATTTAATTTATAATAAACTTTTTAAATTACATCTCTCTCTTTTTTTAAAATCAAGGCTCTTTTTATGTCAAAATCTTTTTAAACTATATTTTTAGATTAACATTGAACGCCCCCCTTGTGATCTATACCGTTGGATATTTAGTTATTACTGTATGTGTAACAGCTAAAACAAGAGAGAGGAGGGAACATAAAGGCAGTGGACTTGAAAGATACATCAACAATAACAGTGACCTTAGCATCATCTTCTGATAACCACCACTACGCCAGAGTTGCCTCGACTCCTTTCCTCTCTCTATCTCCTATCTTTCAAACCCAAAGTCCACAATCTGTCTTTTCACGTTATCTGGAGGAGAAATGTGCAGTGGAAATGATCAAAACAAGGTACTGTGGAAGAAAGACGTGAGAGTGAATTATTCACCATATGCTTCCCACGTGGTCATCTCTTTTGAATCCATTCCCCTGGCCTTCTCCTCTCCACGCTTTTCCTAGTGCTAGGAGGAGCCCATCATTTTTCATGTTATTAACATGATTAATATAGTAGGTGGCCCAGGGCCGTTCCTGAGATTCTTTTGCCAAAAAAAAATTTAAGAAAATAAAATTTTTAAATGGGGGTGAGTTTGCCGTTTTCTTACTTTAATGTGAAGACGGACTAAATCTGAGGTCCGATTTGGGCTGTGCTTGCTTGCTTGCTTACTGATGGGTACCATTTGACAAATCAAACAAGGAATCAAACGAAATCAAAAAGAGAATCAAGGTTTCCCACAATCCTATATGAATGTGTTCAGCATCACAGAGAATCACAACGTCCCCAAAGAACGAATGGATCTTCCTCTCGATTTCTGGGAGCATGGAGTGAGTGTGGGTGCGCGCACGCGGGACAGGGGAGGGTGGGGGCGGGGGTAGAGCTGGCCCCCGGGCTCAGAAGGAAAGCCAGGTCGCTAAAGCTGCCGAGAGAGACACCAGGAGCACGGGGAAGGCCGGGAGCAGGGGCCCCGCCGCCCCGTTGCCGCTGCTGCAGAGTTCGAATAAGCTGCCTTGAATGTTGAGGTTTTTGGATTCTTTTCTCAGTTTATCCCACATATCTTTCGCCCCTTCCTGGCAATCCGTAAGGGCTGTGACCGTGCAGCTGTGGAAATCCTCCCAGTATCTGGCGAGGAATAGAACAAAAACAGAAAAAGCAGATTCACTTTGAGCTCCAGAGCACCGGGGATCGGCGCCCCCAGCATCTGCTTCTCCCGCAGCCTCGCCAACTTCCCAGGATGCCTCCTCCCTACCTCGCCTCCACCTCCCGGTGGCCTGGGCTGCAACTCGGTCGGGGATTCCAGGACCTATGCCCATCCCAGAAACACTGTCCAAGGAAGAAAAGCCTCCCCTTGCCCTGTGTGGATTTCCCTCTTTGGAGTGCCAGGAACCCCCTCCCCCCTTCCGCTGGCAGCCGGGAGACTAGTCGTACTCAGTGCGTCCCGCTGGTAACTCGGCCCACGCAAACAGATTGCTCGCTCTCCTCGGGGAAAGCTAGGAAAACAGCGCTAAGCCTTGCAAGCAGCCGCCCATTAATGCCTCTTAGCTTGCAAGATGGGTTGGTTACACGCTCCCAGCGCTGGCCCCCCTCCCGGAGTTTCACATTCTCCTCCCCCTCGCCCCTTCTGTCCCCCTCCTTCTCTCGGCGGGACTCTCGCTTTCGCCCTCATTTCGCTCCCTCCACCCACGCCACACCTTCCTTTTGTTTCCAGAGTCTCCTCGTGCCCCCCGTTCTTTCCTTGTTTTCCTCCCTTTCGTTCCCCATTTCCTCTTCCTCCGCCTCTTCCCTGGCCGGGGTCCTCCGAGACCCTCCGGAGCCTCGCTCAGCACAGTCTCGCGGCTCAGATTGCGTCTGGAAAGTCACCGGGTCGGCGAGTGCTCGTCCCTGGACACCTGCGGCCAGCTGGGTAAGGCTTCTCTGGCTTTGCCAACCTCGGTTCCGGGGGGGCCCCCCTGCGCGCTGGGTGCTTCCTCTCCTCTCCAGTCTTGGTTTGGTCCCCAGGGGGTCTGGGCTCCCACTAGCGCCCACTTCCCCAGACCGGGATTCCAAGGCGGGCATGGTGCCTATCCCTGGCCAGCCCTTGTTCTCCCCACCTCCTGTTCTCTCCTCCTTCGGTCACTTCCTGGAGTCACGCGTGTAAATCAGCACTTCCTCCTCCGGGTGTCAGATCCTAGCCACGCCCCCACAACCTTCATCCAACTGTCCTTTTTTCTTTTTTTTTTTTTAATTTTCCCCCTTTCTTCTGGAAACTCAAAATAGATCTCAAGACTAAATATAATCCCAAACCGTGATCGATTCCTGGGGCGCTGTCTCCTTTCAGGGCTGGGTCGATCTTTGCTTCTCGGCGAGTCTGTTTCTGGCTCTCACTTCACACACCCTCACCCCCCACCCCCAGCCTGACAGGTCACTACAGCGGCCCTAAGTGCAATTTAGATGCGTTTCTCTCTCCCTTGCGCTTGCTCACCTGGACTGTAAGCTTGCTGAAGACAGGCACTATGTTTGATTCATCCTTGTTTCCACATACATCCCATCTTCCAGTGAAATTACAAGTACATGTTGGATTGCCTAAATTTCAGGTTGTTTTTTTAATGACCTCCTGAATCTAATTTATAAGGACTGAGGGACCCAGACAGGTCTTCCAGGTTCCACAATTTGTAATGAATAGTAAGATTCAGAAACACCAAGAGGCTGAGGGACACCTCTGCACAGTCCTTATGAAGTTGCATCTTCTGTGGGCTGTGGAAACTGCTCTTGGCTTTATGTACCCCCTCTTAGGGAAAGCACTTTCCTGAAAGACGGATATGGTGTAGAACAGATATTCACCTGGGCTGGGAGAGGTCAGCTCCATCCTGGAATTGAGCATCAGGACCACCAATTTATTGGGGCTTGATCCAGCTGTGGCCTGCAGCCTCAGGGAGGGGCCCTCCACATTTCCCTGTTTTCCAGGACCAAAGTCCTGCTAAAAAAAACCGAAACAGTTTGGAATAACCAGTTCCAGTCAGTGATGTGTAACCTTGCTCTGCCTTATAGAATCATTCTTACCTCTCACCAGACATTTGGAATTAAGTGGCTTTTGTTCCATTCCCAAGAGGAAGGTACAGTCACTTGGCTGCTGTGGCTCCTAGTGGGCTTTAGGAAAGGATGCAGGAAGATGACCTCCTCACTGATTTAGTCATAATTTAAATACATCCTCTCCTGCTAGTTAGGAAGAGAAGGCCAACACAGTATACAAAGGGTGGTATGGAAAATGGTCTCCTGGAAACAGGAGACACTTCTTACCTTGGCTTTATTATAAGGGCTACTGTAGGGCTATGAAAATACAGCTGGTTTTGAAAAAGAAAAGTATGCTGCAGGGAATGGGAGGGCATTTCTAAGGTCTGCAGTAGCTAATTTGTGGAGGGTCTACCTCAGTAGGCTTTTGATGAATAACTCATTTGCTAGTGCAAGCAAGCTTTCTAGGCAATCACTTAGAAAACATGACTGGGCCTGCCATTAAAGTCCTCTCTCTTTGGGTCTGAATCTTGGGGAGTCATGTACATACAGATAGGGTAATGATAAACAAGTGGGTAGCAACCTGTGATCAATTCCTGGAGCACACAAATGGGCTATCCACTCTGCAGAGAGTGGATATCCTTGATATTCTCTTCTTGGGCAAACTCCTCAGATACATTATATTGTTTTTAGCCTTTCAGGAACAGGAAGGGAGATTTGAGTAAGCTTGCCAGTTGCTTGCATTTTGTGGTGTAATTTTGAGGGGTGTTGTATCACCTACCCGACATGGATGGAAAGTTACTTTCCCTTTAGGTAAATCTCCAAATGCCTCAAATCCAAACCAACTGTCCAGAGTACTGGGCACACATTCACAAGAAAAGAAAGCAAGAAGATTGTCTCACGGTGAAGATACTAACTAGTAGCAGGACGTCCAGCTCCACCATTCACTCCCAGAACTCAAGGGTACTTCTCTGTGGGAGTCTGTGAGGCCCAGGAGGGCTGGGACTTTGCTGCTGGCTAGAGGATCTTGCAAGCCCACCATGACAATGGAGTCCCATTAAACAGTGCAGTTTCTTTCTTCACAGAGTTGGCCTCCCCAGGCCAGAGAACTGCCCATAGACTGGAGGGTGGTAGCCCGAAGGCTACTGCACAGCTTTGTGCAAGGCACTCTGACCTGGGCAGAATCCCCAGAAGATAAACTCAGTGGACCCCAAAGGATACTTACGTGCACACGGTCTTGATGTTTGTCTTGTCGTCCAGGCCCTGCGGGTAGTTGGCCATGCTGTCGCCCAGTTTGAGCAAACAGTCCGAAAAGCCCTTAAAGACTGCATCACACTTGCCTGCTGCTCTCACGGCCTGCACCAGGTAAGCTGCAGGGAGGAGGAGACAGTGGTCAGCAGTGTTGGGGCCCATCTGACCACCCCACCGACACAGCCTTTGTCTATCAGTGCAATGCCCAGCCTCCAGGCGATTCAGGTGAAAAGTGTAGGAACAACTTGGCCCTGGAGTGCCATATAAGCACCAAGCACGCCTGTGGTTCAGATTGTTTTTGTGTGAACGCGTGTGGGTGTGTGGGAGAGAGTCCATTCCTTTCCTCCTGCTCCCCCCTCCCCGATGGCGTTTGCTATCTTTTTTGGTTTCCATCGCCCCCCTCTTCTCACCTCCCTCATCTCTTTTATTTTTCTCTTTCTCCTCACTCCCTCCTTCGTCTCCTAACACTTCCCCAGCAAGCCGTGTCACGTCTCTCGCAGTGTGATCTTCCATTTCTGAGGTGACAGAGGGTCTAGGCATCAGGGTGTGGGGAAATGGTGGCTAGGTGTGAGGTCACCCAGCGGAACCCAATGCGAAGCCGCCCAGTGAATAGCTCCCAGCCGCCTCCCCCCTCCTGGATTCAACACACACTGCTGAGTCAACGAATGAATATAGTTTTTGTTTGTTTTTTTATAAAACACTTTTTTTTGCCTTTTCTTTTTTGGTACTGGGGAATCAAACCCAGGACATTGTACTTACTAGGGAAGCTCTTTACCACTGAGCTATATCCCAGCCATGAATAAAGTTTTTGGAAGCTACTGTCATCCAAATGGGTTGATTATATATATATATATATATATATATATATATATATATTATCTATAACAATATGTATGCTCTATACATTGTTATTGTTATTTATATTGTTATAATATACAACTATATATAACATAAAATAATATATAAAATATAACTATATATATATAACATATAACAATATATAATAAATGGATTGCCTACCCTGGAGTCTGTCTCAAGTGTGACCCCTGAAAGCATATCACTATGTCCGACTGGCCAGAGGGCTCCTAACCTAGCTGTGGTAATGATTAATCCCAGGTGGTCAGGGCCAATGGCCAGCTGGGACCGCTGATGTATCCCTGATTCTGACCCCTGTCACCTCCAGGAGCCTGGGGCCCATGCTTCCCTCCACCTCTTTTTGAGCTTCCATCTCTTCCCACACTCTTAACATTCCAGGAAAGATCCTTTGTCACACCAACCCAGGAACCAGGCCTTTCCTTTTCCAGATTGAAGCTAGACTGCTAAAGCCAACCTCGGTGTCTCGGAGCTCCAAGCCTCTAGAGCTCCTGGCTCCAGCCAGAGGGAGGGTGGGTGGGGGCGCAGGAGGAGGAGTGGGAAAACTTGGGACACTAGACCCCAAAGCGCTAGACTAGGTGGAGATGGGTTCCAGATCCTCAGGCACAGGGCGGTCGTCTTTCCTTTACGCCCTGAGGCCAACCAACCTGGCTAGACTTTGTGTAAATATCAGCCCAAAGTACCCGAGATGCCCGGGAGGGCAAAAGAGGAAAGCAAATCTACGATGTAGGGACAGGGAAAGGGTGTTGATTGAATCATAGAATTGAATCGGCCTTTCTTTCTGGAGATTCTGGCTGGGCTCAGGCCTTTTTCTCCGCAGTGCCAGTGTCCACCGAAGTTCCTGTATGAATGCCACTGGTAGGGCCAATAGCCTCCCGCCCCCTCCCCACCATCCCTTCTACGACCCCACGCAGCCATCTGTCGCCGAATGCCCCGAGGGATGCAGACCAGGGGAAGGTGACCGAAGCGCTGCAGCCCCGGAGCGCGCGCGCGCCGTTTGCAGATTGCTGCAGGAAGAGCTAGGCGGGTCTCCAGCTTTCTAATCCGGAACGGGAAGCACTGGGGAAAGGCGACCAAGGTTAACTTCGACCTCAGCGGGGGCAAATCCATAAGCCTTCCAAAACTTCCTGATTTCCCTTGCGCGCGCGCGCGCACACACATACACACACACACCACATACACACACAACACACACACACACAACTACCCCCGCGACTGCTGTGACAGAGAGTCGAGCACGGACATAGCATTTTAGGAATAAATCTTCGTTCGAATAGAACTGGGTCAAGATGAAAACTTGCTCTATAACGCATGATATGAGTATTCCTATCAATTTTGCAGCGAAGAAACACACGAAATACATACCACCCTCCCCTGCCCTGAACTCTTTTCATCCCTTACCTCTGCCCTCAAAATTCGGTGTTGAAAAAAGAAGCACCTGGATGCACTATTTTATTTTTTTTTCTCCGAAAGGAGATTTAGGGCTGGCCGGGGGAGGAAGAAAGCGCTTCTGTCACATTATCTTTCCAGGCGTCACTGCGAAGACTGCACACCGCGCATGTGTGAGTGAGTGCATGTGTAAAATAAGGAGTCATGAAAATTTCTGAATTTTGCAACTGTAAGTCCTTGGGCCATTGCTTGTGCTGGGAGGCCTGAGCGAGTGCGCGGGACGGATTTTGCAGACGCATGCTTTCCGGCAGAGCAGCTGGAAGCCCTAGCTCCTTTCCCTGTCCTTGTTGCAAGCCTCGGGGCGGGCAGCCTGTCTTCCTTCCTTCTCAGTTCTCTCTGGCCTCCCAGTCTCGTGCGGTTTCTATTCGTTCATCCATTCATTCGTTCCACGTCTCATTCATTCCCAACTTCCTCCCGCTGCATCTTCATTCGTTCACTACCCTCATCACTTCCCCGCCTCTCCCCAACCCCCGCTTTTCTTGCCAAGTGTCAGTAATTTGGGACAGCTTCCAGCCATGAATTAGTAAAGACCAAGGCTCTGGTGGAGAAAGGGCAGACATTTGGGAACAAATAGGCTTCTTTTCAATTCCATAGCTAAAACCCCCAGCCAAAAAAAATACAAATAACAAAAAAGAGAGATCATTTTGACTAAGTTCAAATGTTTAAAGCACATCCTTCATGCACAACCTCTGTCTTTTTTCTGTTGTTGTCGTTTCACTCTTCAAAGTAAGGTTATTTCCCTTTGGAAAACAGAGTCCTGTATCTCTGGTTAAAATCCACATCTCAAAAGCGACTGCTGTCTCTTGCTGCCTAAAAATTTGCAGACTAATTACAAAATGCCACCCTCACTTCCAACATGGAAAAGGGATTCAGTGCCATAGGAATACTCTTTATTGCAGTTCTTTGAAAATGTTAGACATCCAAAGCAACCAGATCCAGAGTTAACTCATTAGAGTTGAAGGAAAAGATCAGCACCCCCCTTATAATTTTTTTGCAAAACAATCATCCCTTCAACATGTCATTAAATGCATAAGACCCTAATGCAAGCAATCGTTTAGTGTTGAGAGCTCCAAACCCTGAACTTCACATTTCTTTTGAAGAAAAATGGTATGCTTCCCTCTTAACCCAGATCAATTCCTCAACTCCCTCTCTACAAGATAAGAGCAAACACGACAGCCCAAAATGATAGGAGCTAACACTTTCCTTCATCTCCAGAAAACCCGTTTGAACAGTTTCTATTTTTTCTCTTGTCCATTCTATTAATAACCTGCTTCACTTTCACTTTTAGGCTACTGTTAATTAATGTTCTGACCCGGCTTCAGAAAAAGGGCTTTTCTAGTACTTCCTCCCACAACGTTTTCTGTATTCTGAATAGGAAAAAAAAATGTAGGTGAACTTTAAAAAACCCGCTGACAGCGTCTCTGAGGCTCAACATTCCTTAACATAAAATGGGAAGTAAAGAAACCAGTCCACAATTCACCCTAAGTGAACGAAATAACAAACATTGCAAACCCTGCTTAACCATTTCCAACACACACACACACACACACACACACACACACACACACACACACACACACACACACGAGTACAGATGCCGGTCTGCAGAGTAACAGAGCCTAAAAAGTGTATCCCCGTATATATGACTGAATGCATACTCCTCAATGGCAAGCATAATAAAATAGGTGGTCGGCGGCTCCCGATCTGGGTTCTGGATTTGCTTCTCAGCCCGGTCCGCGGCGCGGAGTGCAAAGGCTGCGGATTTGGGGGGGAGGGGGCGGGAGAATGACAAAGTTCTAAATGCAGCAGTTTGAGCGGAGCACTGGAATATCTGTGCTTTCTGCACAATAACTTTCCAGTCCTAGCTGCCTAGCCATCTTGTTCCTGCAGTCACCTTTCGACCCTTCCAAATAATACCTTGCAGTATCGCAGGGGCTAATGCCCCGGCGCGCAACGAACCTGGTCTAACACCAGAGAGGGAAAGAAAAATGAATGTGTGCGTCGGGGGGAAAATGGGGGGAAAAACCCTCTTTGGAAAAATAGCTGGTTGCACACACTTCCTGAAGAACGCCTGTAGTCTCCTTCTTCAGGAAAATCAAACCGGGACGCTGGAGTCCCCAGGAACCAGTGCCTCCCACCCTCTGAGGTTTGCAGCAGGGTTCTCCGCACCCTGGGGCCGCTGCGGGCCAGCCCGACCCTTCCCGCTTCTGACCCCGGCTGGCTATCTCCAGCCACCCGCCGAGAGCAGGGTCCGGCGGCCACTTACCTATTTGCACCGCGAGGATCAGTGAAATATATCTGCCGTTCAACTTAAGTCCCATCCTACGTTTAGTCAAACCATTTGCGGCCGCAGACCTTTAAATAGTTAGTTTAGAGAACGCGGGGGAAAGCTGAAAAATAGGCATTGCCAACAAGTTCCGAGGACGACCGCGACTTTATGCACGGGGAAGGCAGAGGGAGGAGAGAAAGAGAGGGATTGGGGAAGAGACCGAAAGAGAGAGAGTGAGAGAGAGAGAAAGAGAGAGAGGCTGGGGGGGGGAAGAGCTGGGAATGGTTCACTCCATTAGGAGGGGGCGGAGGAAGCACTGCCTCACGCCCACGAGCAGGCCTGACGTGGGGGATGACACGGAATGATTTTTTTTTTAATATAGACACCTTGGTAGAGAATCGCCATTTATAGTCATCAGACGCTGGAATTAATCAGATATCTCCAATTAATGTGCGATCCGAATGCTATCTCGCCTCCCGGGGCTGAACACTTAACCATCTCTACGGCCACCCCCGCCTCCTCCTGTTCTTGGGGGCCCCCAACTCCGCCCCCTCCCTGCGCAGAACCGGGGCTCCCCCTCCCCTCCCCGCCTGGAGCCGGGGAGTCCTGGCGCGCCCACTCGATTGTTTCAACCTGCTCCCCCTCCTCGCACGGCAGCGAATCCAGCCCCTTTCCTACGAGGCAGCCAGGTTTAAAGGAGCTCGGGACGAAAATGGAAAACAGCAAAACCGATTCTACTAATTCAAAAGCCCCCTTCGGTCTGTGGACCCCCGCACTGGCCTACCCTCTTTTTCTCCAGCCCGGTAGCTGAGCACTTGACGCTGCCTGGAGCGCGTGAGTACACAGCCCGGGCCCCCATTGCGCGCGCCGGGTGCGCGCCCTCTCTCTCTCTCTCTCTCTCTCTCTCTCTCACACACACACACACACACACAACTCGCACACGTCCAGGCCCAGGAGAGGGGTGTTTGGTCTGCCCACTTGGGACCCCTAAAACATATACCGCGGGCCCTCCGTGAATTTCACCACTAAGGATGTCTATCCAGGCGAAGGCCGATTCACCAGCCCCAGTGGCTTCTTGTTAAGCTATGGGTACAGAGTGGCAGCCTCTGCCAACACAATTTTCGGATACTAGTGATTTACAAACTCTCGAAGCTTTAGGAAATTTCCGAGGCCAGAGCAGTGTGCAGGCTTCTCTCTAATCTTGATGCACCTCTTAGAATGATTTGTTGGGCCGCAGTCACACGTACACACACGCACACACGTACATCACGTACGCACACGCACACCAGGACCCACACACACCTGCCTTGTTTTCTGATGGATCCAGTGTAGACATAGCCTACTCTACAAAGACGCAAACGCAGCTTCTGCAGATGCATTAATGCAAGATGCAATGTATTATAGAAGACACTTTGAATTAAGAATTAAAAACAAGGCGATTTCCTTTCTAATCTCTTTGGTTCTTTGCTTTTTCTGCATTGCTCTCCACCCTCCTAGTCAGATGCTAAAGTCACTGACCAACTTTATTCCTAAAGCCTGCAAAGAAAAGAAAATGACCCCTATATCTTACAAGACTACCCGAGAGAACGTCAAAATATTAAATAAGCAAGGAAGCAACAAAATGCAAACGAATGGAGGACATAGGGCGTTAATATGCCATTGCGATCAGCGATCCACTGGAGAACCTTCCCGGCGTCCTCAAACACAATCCACTTGGAGGGAGGGAACGATATATAATGGGGGGGGTGGCAGGAAAGGAGCTAAGGGGGAGCCGCGGGTGTCCTGACTGCAGCATTTCGTGACGTGTCCTGCACTGGGTGGCCCCTTCTCGCGTCCTGCGGAAACCGCAGACCCCCAGGTGGCTGCTCCGGCCCAGGGGGCGGAGCCAAGGCGCCCCGCCCCTGGTGATCTCACCAGCAGGCGGAGGAACGACCCGGGACTCGCCTTTCCGACGTTCCAGGAGGCTGTACCGTGCCGGATACCCCGACCAGCAGAAACGACCAGTGGGTCGAGGGCGGGGCCAGGACTGGTGGTGAGAGGAGGGCGTCTCTCGGACCCGCCCCCGGAGCCCACCAATGGCAGGGCGGAAGTTGGCCAGGGGCGGGGCTTCTGCAGCACCGCGCCCGCCCCCTCGGGCTCCGCCCCTCCCGCGGGCCCGCCAGTGGCGGCGGAGCCTCGGGGGCTCAGTCGCTCCGCGAGCTTGAGTTGGGGGTGGTTGAGATCGCTGTCCCTCCACGTACTGGTCTTTCTTCAGTTTAGCCGCCCACCCGGATCTTTCAAAGTGTGTTGTCAGGGTGCCCTGGGATGCTCCCCATCCCATGCGAAGTGGAGGACTTCAGAGGTGTGGGAGGAGGCGGCACAGGGCGAAGCCAGGTGCTCGCCAGCCGCCGCCCGCGGGCCCCGCGCCCTGCCAGCCCCGCACCCGCGCCCCGAGGCCGGTCCGCGCGGGGCGGCTGGGATCCGCCGTGCACTGCCACCTGCAAGCTGGGAGGGGCTGTCTCTCTCCACTTCCCTCCTCCGGGGGCCCGGCTTCTCTCTGGCATGGCTCTTGGAAGTTCGGGCCCAGCAGAGTTGGTTCAGCAGGGTTAGATCTGGAGGATGAAGAGCTGAAGCAGATGCCAATGATGCTCTTACCTTAGCCGGGCACCGGCGGCCCACATCTGTTACCCCGCCTACTCTACAGTCTGAGCTCTGAGGATGGGCCGCCAAAGACATCAGGGGCAGGAAAGTCCATGAGATGCTTATCTTCAATTAACCACCAAAAAAGCTTGAGCTGGGGCTCAAGTGGTAGAGCACTGTCCTTGAGGGAGTAAACAAAAAGCCCAAGGACAGCGCCCAGGCCCTGAGTTCAAGCACCAGGCCACAAGCTCTTTTAAATCACAGGCTTTTCTTCTACATGTTAGGTTCCAGTTAGGCTTTATTCTTTCTAGTTCCTTAATTAAAAACAACTCAGTCTCAGCAGGCTGATTATTTGGGAACTCTGGAGCAACACCACGGTAGAAGTTGGCAGGGGAGAATGTTTCTTTTCGTTTATTAATTTGAAAAGCCTTTCACATGTCACATGTGGAGTCAAATATACTTTAGGAGAAGAGTGCAGGCCAGAGCAGCCCAGGTTTGTCTTCACCTTCACATGACCTTTGCTGCCCCCACACTGCTGTAAATTGCAGCTTTCTAATCTGAGAAACCAAGAGCACAGGCCTACCATATCCTCTCTAAAGCTGTTTTCAACTTTGACATTTGATGAACCAAGGTTTTCCCAGAAAAAACAACTGTCTTTCTGTCTTTCTTTTTGTTGTTCTTTCCTTTCTTCATTTCTACCTTCTTTCTTTCTTTCCCACCACCACTGGTATTTGAATTCAGAGCCTCAAGCTTGCTGGACTGGCACTCTACCACTTGAGCCACACTTCTAGCTCTGCTATTTTGGAAATGAAGCCTTGCAGACTATTCTACCCAGCCTGATTTCAAACCTCCAGCCTCTAGATCTCCACATCCTGAGTAGCTAGGATTACAAGCATGAGGCACTTTTGCTCAGCTCAACTTACTTCTATTTGCTAAGCAATTTTAATCAAAGTTTAAGAAAAATATAGTCCAAGAAAGGGGAAAAAAAGGCATTGGTGATGTTTGGTGCTGTTTGTTGAATCCAGTCTAAGACACCCCTAAAGTAGGTCTGCATAATTAAGGAATACATATGCAAAACTCTTTTATCTTTAAAGCTTCCTGGAGGAGAACATGCCTAATTTTAAGTCTGATTTGGCACTAGCTTGCTTCCTCAGTTTTAGGTTGCTTACCGTCCCAGTTTGACAGAGAAGCCCTCCAGTTGATTCCCCAACTCCCTCTACCAATCCATCACACACGAATGGACTTGCCAGAAGATGCCATCTCAAATAATATCCCTTGAAAATTGTTTGCATGAGCAAGTTGCCAGGGCCACCATGAAATTCCATCTCTGTCTTCTAGGTCAGGAAAGAATTTAAGGTTGTATTAAGGTTCTCTCATAAATTCAGTCTGCCATCTTTTCCCCTTCAACTGGAGCCTTTAATCAAATATGAAGGGGCATGTGTATAGCTCTTTTCATGGAAATAACTATACTGTATTTAAATAACCATTTTAATGAGGAGAGTAATGAATTTTTAATGGAAATATGTCAGTTAGGGAGCCAATAAAAGCTCACATTGAAAGGTCTGTGTCTACTCTTGCATTTGATACTTGGGAAGGTGATGGGTCTCATGACTCTTTTGGTCATAGAGGTTCTAAAATTAGTTGAAACCTCTAGTCTTGAAATCTATGACTGACTGAAAAAAATCTTATTTTAATACAGACATTTGAATTCTGGAAGGCAATTCTCTGTTAGAAATGTATGATTAGCTTTCTTCCTAAAAAATAAATGCTTTTCTTATGGAATATACACACAGAAAAAATGCCCAAAGCAAAGATGCACAGCTTGTGGGTTTTAAAGGGAAGATCTGAAGCTGAGAGTTGACAGCGCATGCCTGTATTCCTAGCTAATCAGAAGGCTGAGATTGAGAACCAGAGTTCAAAGCTAGCCTGGCAGACAAATTGAAGATACTCTTATTTCCAATTAACCAGCAAAACACCAGAAGTGGAGGCCTAAGTGGTAGAGAGCCAACCTTGAGCAAAAAAGTTAAGCAAGCCTGCCAGACCCTGAGTTCAAGCCCTAGTACTGGCGCTCTCTCTCTCTCTCTCCCCCCCTCTCTCTCTCTCTCTCTCTCTCTCTCTCTCTGCCCCCCAGTCTCTCTCTCTCTCCCCACCTCTCTCTCTCTCTCTCTGTCTCTCTCTCTCCCTCCCTCCCCCTCTCTGTCTCTCTCTCTCCCTCCCTCCCTCCCTCTCTCTCTCTCTCTCATCTATCTTCTATGGGATATCTGTATCATATCAGGATTCTTCCAGCAACAATGTTTTCACCAATGTAGCCACTCATCCTTGGACCTTTGTTGGACTTCTAATTAATAAACCAAAAGAACCCTCTTTTGTTATGCAGTTATTAAGCCTCAAGTGCTTTATTATGGTAATGCAGAACAGACTGATATGGAGATCTAACTGTCCAAAACTGTAGTTTTTTTTTTTTTTTTGCTGGGTGTAAGTGGGGGGTGTACATGTCCTGGGGCCTAGGTACCTGTCAGGGCCTGGGTGCTGTCTGTAAGCTTTTGTACTCAAAGCTGGTGCTTTGAGCCATTTCTGGCCTTTTTGGTGTTTAATTGGAGATGAGTCTCTCAGACTTTCCGCCTGAGCTGGTTTTGAACTGTGAGCCTCAGATCTCAGCCTTCTGAGTAGCTAGGATAAAAAGTGTGAGCTACTGATACCCAGCTCAAAACAAAGCTTTTATGACAAAAGGTTTTGTTTATTTAAACAGGATCTAGCTATGTCTGAGATTACATTAATAGTCCAGTCCTCATTCAACTTCTACTCAATGCCCTTACCATCCATGGACCACTCTCATCTAAATCAATCACATCTGTTCTTATTGCCAAATATTGATGTTTTCTTTCTTTCATTTCTTCTGAATTCATTATTTGATATTCTACTGTAGAGAATAGATTTCATCTCTTCTTTCTTTCTTTTTTCTTTCATCCTTCCTTCCTTCCTTTCTCTCTTTCTTTTCTTTCTTTCTTTCTGTCTTTCTTTCTTTGTCTGTCTTTCTTTCTGTGTCTTTCTTTCTTTCTTGGTAGTGGGGCTTG